ACAAAATTAGTTTCTTCTTTTTATTACATTTTGAAGACTTTAAAAACCCTTTTGAATACAGGAGACTATTACAAATGTATTAGGTTACATGTGTTTGTGTCTGCATATCTGGAAATGAACTTTTAAATTATATTATTAAATATATCATTATATATTATTAAATATATCAGCCGAAGTATCAAGTGTATAGGATGGGAGTGTACAGCCATAAACAACCATATTGTAGCAATTCTATATAAATAATTTCCTGGAACCTGACCACAGTCACTTGTTAACCTCCTCATATTTGCACAGAGACCTTCCAGAACACATCAGAGTATTTTTCAGAGACCTGAAACAAGCATTAATTAACAAAAGCACCAACAAGGATATGCAAGTTGGTGTGTGACAAACGTAGGTGTTGGCACTGCATTTTTTGTGTATTTCAAATGCAAGTATAGCCTGCGAACCTCATTCTTCCACTTCCTTGCTTTTTGTAAGTATAATGACCCAACACATACAAAGGTTGGGTGTGTAGTTGTTATAGCCTGTCCTGGGCTAGTAAGCGACCTAGGAAGTCTCCTATTCAAAATGTGAACTTCACAAATCTGACTTTTGCTTCACACACTTTTGCTGTTACTCTTCATCTTCCCCATGCGGAGAGTGGTATCAAAGACTCTCCCGTTCTGTGGCCCTGTGTACCTGGTGTGCAGCACCACAGCTGAGCTACTACTGAGCATGCGCATGAGCGAGGACGCTCAAAGTTTCTCTCGAAGGAGCTCACTCCTTGGCTTTAGTCTAGTGCCCCAGTCCCTCCCATCATGGGCTAAGGTGGTTCCCTCCAACATGCTTCAGAGAAACTGTCCTTCACATGACCTCAAGAAGAGCTGTCTTATGTTTTGGGAAGATTACCCAAAGCTGTGTGTTCTGATAGGTGTGTGAAAGACGTTATCGTTAGTTACGGACCTTAGGCCAGTGAAGTTCAATGGGAAGACAGCTTACGCACAAAATACAGCTTGGATGTCGTGGACTTCTGGAATCCTACTGAGCTTGTCAGACCCTTGAACTTCAACTTTTGCAGTTGGTGTGAAATACTTACATACGAAAGGATGAATGTACAAAGTGTTTAGAATTTCTTAAAGAACAGTCTAGGGTTTTTTTAATGTTTGATTTACACACAGAGTAGCCAATGTCCTCTGGCTTTGTGTGGAGGGTGAGAGATACACTACATTTCTTTCCGTATGTGAGATGATATGTTAGTGACAGTATAAATGCTTATTGGCAGCCATTCAAAATATTTTTTATCCCCCTGTAAGAAATGGAATAATCTTAGTCAAACTTTATTCTCCATGTAGTGCTACTGTGGATATATAAACTCTCATCCTGTGTTACCTTCCACTGTACCTGCTACAGACATATAGGGAAGGTGCTGTTTTGAGAGGAAGGATTCTACATGAGAGCTGGTCACCCTTGACTCCCTTTGTAGTCAGTGGGGAGAAACAGGTATCTGGTTTACTTCACAAGCCCTTAAAACAAAATAAATCCCACCAGAAATGCCTGTCTGGTGCTACACAGACTCCCTAAATGCCTAACCCAGACGCATGTGTCCAGGTGAAACCCACTCGTGCTGTGTCCTGTACTGCTCTGTCTCAGCTGTTGCCTTTTCTCATGGGCTGAGGCTGCAACATTTGGAGCACGGACTCTACAGAAGCCATGGGGCTGCGCAGTGTGGTAGCCAGGAGCATGATGTGAGGAGCCCCTCCAGCCCATGGTTTCTCTCACTTTTGGCTTCCATGCTTGAATCATTGCTCTGCTGATACCTTTGGAAGCTCATATAGCTGAGATCAGAGCCCTTTAACTCCACTCAGGTCCCAGAGTATGGAAACTAGAACTCTGTGCATTAAAAAATGCATCCTGGGAGACTGCAGTGATCCATCAGATTTTAGCCAGATATTCCCCCTTACTCTTTGTTTTATAAATTTTTCCTCCAGTTTTCAAACTTCAGTTCTTCTTTGGATGCTCCTCTTACTTATCCTCCACTTTTTCAGAGTGTCTATCATTTTCTCCATCACCATCTTCACTCACTGTCTTTGTTTGCTTCTCTTCAGCCAGATCACTATCTCAGTAAATGGAGCACTTCTTCCAGTAGCTTTTCATGCATAAGTGTGAGAGCAGAGGTCTGAGCCTGGATGAATGAAGTCTTCCAATTATCCCCACCAAAAGATCAAACTAGGAGGGAGGACAAACAGGACTGATAGTATCTTCTAGGGTTTATTCGCATTTCCCAGACACAGGGCTAGGAAAAAAAAAAGAATATGCCATAAAAGGACAGCATTTTGTCTGCCGCAGATTAGAAGACTCTACTGTCTTGATCGCAGACACGTAAAATGAAATGACAAATTAATCTTAGCATAAAGAATAGGCTGGGGGAAAATCAATATTGCAATCAAGTGAGATGAGGAGAGAAATGTCAGAAATTTCTACAGATGTCAGGAGACCAATTGTGCCCAGAGATGAATAAATACTTGGACCCAATCTTCAGCACCGATTGAAAAAACTCAGCAGTTGCACAAACCATCCCTTTTTCTTCTCCAAAGATTTTAACCAAACTTGTCCTTTTGTTCTTGCCTAAGCTTAGGTCAAATATTGAAATAATTTCCTTCCTGGTTAAAAACAGCTGGAAAGGGACTGGAAGCGGGGAGGGTGTCAGAACCCTCCAGACTCAGGCTGGCTTTTGGTATGTTCATTGATGTACTCCATGTACACACAACAGCACCTAGGAGAACTTCTTTGCCAAGTAGTATCCCGGCCAGGTTGCTTGAGAAAAAGACTGGGGACTCTCTGCAGGCAGAATATAGTTATTAAGGCAGTGTCTGAAGGGTAAAACTACAGCCAATACATGTCCTCCAGTTGTTTTGTCATTAAAATAGGCACAGATTTGGCTTGGCCAAACAGAGAAAGCAGGGTCACATAAAGGAGCTTAAACACCCTGCTAGAGGCTTGCCCCTGGCCACCTCTGGGCCTGGCAGGAGATGTACAGCACAGAGCCCTCTCTGCAGCCTTGCTGGTACCCACAAAATCTCTTCAGTACTGGCAAAGGCAGAGCAAGGAAAAGTGGCACTAAGCCTCCTACCTGTGTTTTCAGTTTTACACCCTTAACAGATGAGCTGTCCTACAGCAAGAAAAATAGACTGGAGCATCTCTGCCATGAATTTCCATCTCATTATTCCTGCGGGCACTCAGTATGCTTAATTTCACCAAATGCCTTCCTTTCCTGCAGTATAATCAGCCTCATGTCAGGAAAGATTCTCCTCCCTTCTGAAGGGATGGGAGTTCTTTTACCACCAATGGCCTTAAAACTTCTAAATCTTCCTTTTTGGAGCCGAGACAGTGAAGGAAGGCTCCTGAGCCCAATTTACTTTGCTGTGCTGGACAGGATCCTGCGGCATCTCTCCGTACAGGAAGCACCTTGCTCTGAAGCAAAGGCAGCAGCATTTTGAAGGAGTTTGTGGCCAGCCTGGATGCTCCTGGGCTTCTCTCGCCAGTACAGCAGTCATTTTGGTAGCTGTAGCTCGTAAGTCTTGGCCTTACCATCATCCTCTTCACGAAGCTGCTGTGCCCATTTGCCCAGGGTACTTGTCTGGGCTGGTATGTTTTAGGGTACCAACTTTTTCACCAGTCCAGCCACACTTTGGGCAGAGTGCTATTTTTGACCTAGGGAAGCTTGGTTTCTCTCAGCAGAGATAATCACCAAATCATTTGCAAGCCTGAGTGCTTCCACAGGGAGAAAGCAATCCTGCAGCTCTCTCTTATTTTAGACATTTTGGTGCAGTTAATTGTAGGCTTGATTACTAACCATTTTGCTTGCACGTACCTTTTGGCTTTACTCTGGTACTTTATGTGATAAGTTACTTTAAAATGCAGGATTAGCAGAACTTTCATGAGGCACAGCTGTCCAGCACCCCATTAGGCACAGTTCACAGCATTTATCATTTTTTACACACACACATATGTACACAGAGGCAGACAGTGAGTGCAAATTTGTGTCTCTCCCAGGGCAGCAAAGTTGCAGGACTCCTTCCTCACAGACTTCAGGGCTTAGGCTGTGCTCCCTAGGTGTGTCAGGGCTGGAGAGGACCGGGAGGTGCACCCAGCTGCAGCTGCAGGCTGTTATTGGCTTGGCCTGGGGACGTGGTCTCCAGGGGCTCTGGACCCTGTGCATCGTCCCTGTCCCAGGGCCATCACACCTGCTCCTGCACAGCCTGGGGTGGCCGGGTTAACCATCCTTCTGCAAGTTCATTGAAGCTGGATTTTAAAACGAAGAGGAAGTATCTGACAAGTTTACCCTGTGTTATTCAAGCAATATATTCAGCAGAGCTCAGATGTGTTTCTTTGAGGAAATCAGAAAGGGTTAGGAAGGAAGAGCAAAGCATCGTAAAGAGGCACAAGTGCAGGACTTCCGTTGTCTTGTGCCATGTTGTGGCACGAGGGCATGCATCTGCGTGCTGGTTGTTCGCTTCCCTGGTGTGGTGGGTGACCCAGCAGAAACGCATTTTTCTGAGGGATCTGACCATCCTGTTTTTGGAACCGTGGGTTTTCTTTAAGGGGCTCTGGCTGTGGCCCTTGGGGAGCGCAGTGCACAGCACAGCGGGCCCATCCTGGGGACTGATCATTATCAACTTGCAGCAGAGGGGCCCCATCCCAGCCTGGGGTCCCCAGAGCAGAGAGCTCCACGGCCAGCCCCGCTCCCATCAGTCACCCTCCCACCCAGCCACACAGGACTCCATGCCCATGGTGGCTGGAGAGGCTCTCTGGGAGTCTCTGGCACGCTTTCCCAAGTCATCCCCAATGAGATCAGCAGTCCTGGAGCCAAAGCCAGGGTCAGAGTCGTTTGTTTCTCCCCAGCAAGACTTCAAAAACAAGCGGTGCTCACAGTGTTCCCCCGGTCCCGAGCTCAGCTGGGGGGTGCAGCCTTCTGCTTGCCCCTCAGCCTCTCCTGCTGACCTCTCCTCTGCCCCCACTTTTTCTCATGTGGGGCATGTTTGTGTGTGGCTGTGAAAGGGGGTCTGCTGTTTGTCCTGTGGCCGAAACGAGCTGCAGCAGGGTGAGGACATTGCTTGGCGACAGCCTCCGAGGTGCCGGTGGCTTTTCAGTGCCCTGCCGGCTGGGTTTTGGCGGCACGCGGTACTGGTCATAGCCATCAGCCTGCAAGTTCCATGTTCGTGGTGGCAACAGCTCCACAACTTCTGTGTTGCTCAGTATTTCAGAAAGGCTCCTCTGCCTCATCATAGAGTAATCTGAGTTAGATCAACAGCAAAATCTGCCTTTGAAGGGAGGAGACCTCCTGAGGGAATTATTGCATTGGTTGCATGTGATAGGGAAAAAGAGAGTGAGAGTACATGTGTGTTCACGTCTGTGTATTCAGAACTGTCCCAAGCTTCTCTGTAAATGAGACACTACTTTGGGCAGATGTTTGCAATCTAAATTAGGTGCCAAAAATACTTTGCAGATGTGACAGCTTATCCAATGTGAAACATGCCCAGAAGTCGACGGAACGCCCGGTGAAGGCTGCTAATAGAGTCAAAGTCAGGACAAACGTTTTCCTCTCTCTGAAACACAAAGTCAAAGGAATACCAAAGATGACAGTTAAACATGAAAAAATCCAAACCACAAACATACACACAAAGATGCAGTGCTTGAGGCTGAAGATGACAGCTGTGGGCGCTGAGAACGATATCAGCATGCAGAATACAATCCATCCTTTTGCTGTCATCAAGCACCTGGGTTAAGAAAGCAAGTACTTTTTCAGATAATAAGGGGACCACAGTTAGGACTTGCCTTTAGACCCCTACTTGTAAGAAAACCAGACATTCAGAAGAAATTATCACTACTCTTCTCAAAGGGAATAATTTTTTCTCCTGGACTGAAATAGCTAGTGACCACTTGCAGAGCAGGAGAAAGCATATCTATAGTAGGCTTTGGTTTCTCAAAGATTTGTTATTTTTATTTTCTCGAAGATTAGTTATGTTATCTCAGATTGTTAGGTTATCTCAGATTATTTGATAAGGAGGAGTACAACACTCCAGTGCTCTGCTGAGACCAACTCATTACAGATTCCTGGTCACTCTAGAAGCTGCTGTCAGCAGGCTCTGTCTAGGAAGCACCGCAGGTCCCATCCCACCTTTGCTACCGTGTGTCATTCAGCTTTCTTGACTCTTATGCATTAATAGGATAGTGAAATGAATCTTCTCCAGTCTGCATTTGTGACACTGACCCTTGAGTTCTGTGATTTGATTTTTTCAGATTTTTATTAACACTAATGCATAATTAACTGAAGAAGAGGTGCAGTGTTTTAGAAAGATGCTTTAACAGTAGCCAATACCTGTAGTAGCTGATAAAGCTACTTTTTCAGAGAAGTCAACAGGGAAAGTTTGCTGAGGATTTGAGGAATAGCTTCATGTTTTCTGTGTTGCTTTTACATTTGGATCTTATTTGTCCTGGTTATATGGGTTTGTTCAACAGAAGCAGTACCCTTTGATGTCCCCCTCAGCTATGCTCACAAGTGAGAAACAGGGGAGCTTTACCTCTGCTGTCGCTCCCATATGAGGTGAGGAAAGCAGCCAAGATGTATGCGTGGGCAAAGGGAAGAGCTCTGCCACCGCAACTCCACAACATGTGTGGCACTGGTTGAGGGAGGCAAAATAAGGAAAGACAAAGACTAGTTCTCCTCTATTGGCCTAACAAGGAACATCAAAGAATAATTCCCCTCGATCCCCTCAGTGCCCAAGTAAAGCTGTGCCTGCGTAAGCCCCCACTAAACCCCTCCAAACTGTGCGGGTGGGCACAGCCATTCTCCCATCCACCTCCCAGACACACACGTTTCTCCCAGCTGCCAGCTGCTTTCTAACAATTTCTTCAGCTGTGCATTTTCAGCATGTAACATTTGCAGGGTAATGCCCATTTCTGCTGAAAAGTGTCTCAGACTTGTGTTGAATATCATGAGGAACAGTGCGGGGTACTCTAGTGGGGCATCTCCCTAGATTTAAAGGTTTAAAAATCTCAGCCGTCTCTTCCTTAACTAACATGTTACAGAAGGCTAAAGTGTTGAGCATTGCAGTGCCAGAGAAACCTGGTCCAGGGCAGCAAAGGACGGTGGGGTTCAGACATGTACCAGCAGCGATAGCACGCTGCAGACAAATCAGCTGTTGTCCCACTTGGAACTAAAGGAGATGGGATAAACCCTCCTCAGGAAATGGTGGTGTTGGGTGTGTGGGTTTGAGTTGATGTTTCTGCTGTTTCACTGTTCAATTGGCCATCTGGGAAGCTGTGTCTGAGGACAAGGCTGAGTCTGGGTCTCCCTCCTGCACAGACAGAGCTCGCTCACTGTGGTTGCTGGAGCTGTAAATGAAAAGAAAGGGAAAGTCAATTTTGTGGTATTGTTGGCTGGATGGTGAGAAATATGTACATTTAATTTCACCCAAATTAGGTGTGGAAACGGTTTCCTGGTTTTCACTTGAGGCTTCACCTCTGCTCACACAGACAGAGCTTGCACACGGAAAAAGTTCAAAAAAAGCACCAGCAAAGGAGTGCTTGTAAGAAGGGTCTGGGACAGCTGAACATGCATGTGTGTGCACGCGTGTGCTCATCTCTGTGTGTTTGCAGGTCTTTTGGTACCATGGCAATGCCAATTTACACTTTGCCCTGAAGCCGTGGAGTTATGAAAAGCTGGTGTGAGTGACACTGGTGTGGAAGCCCAAGCTGGCAGAGTGACACTTTATCGCAGCATTTTGCAGCTCTTCTTTCAGGTTCAAAGATTCTGGAGCAGCTCTGACATCAAATGTAAATCAAACTGGAGACAATTCTGCTCTTCTCCAGACTAGAGGAGGGGAGGAATTAGATCCTTCCTGAAATAACATTAAAAAAGAACATTTTTTTCAAGCAAGCATCCTTCTTCTGTGCATATTGGAGAGAGGGGTCCAAGAAGACCAGAAGACAAAAAGCTTGTGACACATTTGCATTATTTTGTGCGCTTCCTCCTAATTCAGCATGCAGACTGACTTGGAGAAGTTTTTAACATTGAATGCCTGTGGCAGCATTTTATATACTGAGGCAAGTGATTTCTCCTGTGTGTGGAGTTTCTTCAGGGAAACTTGTCTGGTACATCATGATCTCTCACATATTTTAGTACACACTTGCCTGGAAATATACTTATGGCAGAAATCTAAAATATAGCAAATTAGGAGGAAGTGAAAGCTGCAGAAAACTGTTCTGGTTAGCACAGGATTAAAAAATAAATTATAAAATAATGAATAGTGAAGAGGCTAGAGAACTGCAAAACAGATAGTGTAATTCTTTTACCATGAGCTATTTATGTGTGTTAAAATACAAGGCAAAAATCTGGGGCTCGTTGGGTCAGAGGAGAAGCCTGACTCACTTTGGCTGTGTTAGTCCCAAATCTGTGAGTGCACCCATGTAACCTGTCCCTGGGAAGACCGCAGTGCAACTCCACTCATCACAGCACAGTGTCTCATTAAAAGCACCATAGCGTGAGAGCTGGAAGAATACAGTCCAAGCAAGGCATTAGGAAAGATACTGCTGCACTCAAAATTATCGGATTTTCACCTCTGTGATGAAAGTCTTCACCCCAGCACCCCGCTAGACCAGCTGAAGCCAGTCTGTGCAGTGGAGCAGTCCCAGGTGGGGCAGTCCCCTGTAAATGGGATATTTCTGGTAGAGAGATACTTGAAATCATAGTAAAACTGTTAGAAGACTACGTGGCTATCTGCAAGAAAAATTAGGAATCTCTAGTGTTTGCAGACATAACAGTGAATGTGTGCTTGTTAATGCTGGGAAACGGACAGAAACAGCTGGTGGCTAAAAGTATCAACAAATATCTCACTGTTCTTCCCCTCTTGGCCGTGAAGAGCAGGAAAAAGCAGCTCCTCTGCCCCCCCTGAGAGGGACAAGCACAGGCACTGTCTAAAGGAGGGCGGGAGGGAATGGGTGAGCAGTGCCATAACCAAGGGTGTGCGTCCCTGCCTGCCCAAGCACGACGGCTCCCTGCTGAATCCCCCGCGCGAGGGGCTGGGTCCTGGGAGGTGGCCTTCTGGGCACTTTAAGTAAAAGAGACCTTGAGACTCCACCAACTCACTTCACACCAACTTTTTGTGCGGTCAGTAGGTGAACCTTCAAAGGTGAAGATCTTAACCCATAAAGATTAAGGTCTAGCAAAATCAAAAGATGAGTACTATTAGAGCAAAAGTAACACATGGAAACCAAATACCATATATTTCTGAGGCTTCTTTCATGGTTTTTCATTGCTTCAGGTTGGCAGTGTTGGTCAGTTTCACAGCAAGAGGGGAAAACTGCCAAAAATTGCTTTCTTAGTGTTTTCATGTCTTCAAGTTTCTTTTTCAGTTTAGCTTTACAATTTCCCCATACAAAAAACCCCAACGAACAGAAAACTCCCTTTTTCAAGCTGACTGCTGCTCGTCTCTGTTCTCCACGTGCCCATCACCACTTGCAAATGAAAACCTGCACCTCTGTAAATCGGACGGAGTGAGAGAAGAGCAACCTTCAGGTTTCTCCAATTGGAATTTATGGATTGTCCTTTCTTGCAGAAAAAAAACAGCTTTCTGAAGAGTTTAGTGGCATCTGAAAATATTAGATATGTAAATTATCCTGTTTCCCACAGTTTCAACAAATACTATTTTTACTATGTAAAATTTTATAGTGAAAATGAGGTAATAATCAAAACAAATTCTCCCTTAGTCATGGAAAAATGCCCCCAGCAGAATCTCACAGAATGTCTCAGGAGAGAGAGCCACATCCTTCATTAGAATTAAAAATTAACCAAGAACACAATGAACACCCAAACATGAGAAACCACAAACAAACAAACAAAATAACCCATTCATATGATGTTTTAAGAAGAGGTAAATCTGGAAAAAAACCCTAAACTTTTCATTAAAATGTTGTTCTACACAATGCATATCTCCATTTTTAAAATATTTTCTCAAGCAAAGATACTGTACCTGGTCTGTTACTTCTCCTTTCTGTTGCTTCACATCAGCTTCTGGGCAGTTGGACCAGGTGGATGGCTCCTGGCATTTGTCCATCTCTCAGCCACCAAATAAGATCAGCTCTGAGAGACTGAGTCCTTGCAAGGGGAAAAACTGCTAATCTATGCTTCCTTGCTTGAAATTAAACTTGATTTTTTAAATATTACTGCATCTTCAGGTTCTTGGTCAAATGTGCTTTGAAGTCAGTGGAAGAACTGACATTGC